TGTCCCCTCTTAAGTCCAAAGTATCTCGCCACAGGATCCCCTGCTTGGATTCTCATCAACATGTTTTCTTTTAATTTACTGATTCAAGAGTTAACGAAAATGTGTCAAAAAGCCAAATGGACAACAAATATGCGTTAATATTTTAAACAAATTAATTTATTACCAATCAATGTAATGAATTCGGTAGTTCTCAAAAATAACGGCTAGATTTCAAAAAGTGTATTCATGTTGTTACGTTTGCTATTGGCTAACAATTACTGTTAATATGGCAACCTTGCTTTCTTGTTGTCAGCTTGTAATTTATGTCCCTTTCGAAAAATAATTAGTATAGATTTTTTTTATATGTGATAAAAGGAGGCAAACGAGCGGCGAGAATACCGCCGTGGTCTACGACGCCTATGGCAACACCAGAGGAACTAGCATTGCTGGTCTTTGAGGAAATTGTAGGCTCGCTTCTTGAAGGACCCTAAGTCGTATTCGGTTAGAAATACCGCCAAGGACAGACCATTCCACAATGCGGTTGTGCAGTGCAGAAAGTTCCGTGTAAACCGCACGGTTGTGGAACGCCAGCCATCGAGATGGTGAGGATAGTACCTGGCAGTCTATAGAGATATAGAAGTCTAGTTAGATTTAGATAAACCATTAGAAGCATACAGTAACCACAAAAACAAACATTGTCTCTAGTAGTGAGCATATTTAAAAAGATATAGTCTGCAAAAGAAATAAAACATTGAAAAGGATACTATCTAGCTAACAATTCCTGTTTTTCATCCGGAGTGAGTACAATGTGCTCCGGTACTAACTCATGTTCTGTTATGTTTATCAACAATTCCGATTCCAAGAATTGTTCTAGAATGTACTTTGGTGCCATGTCTACAAGAGACTGTTTTGCTGATGGTGTCATACCTGCATTAAGAACAAAGATAATTGTTAGGTTGGTTTTTTTTTGTGATTGAGTTGCCAAGGTTTGCTTTGAAGAGGCATTTACAGATTTACTTGACTTGAGGTGGCCGAGGGCAAGTGACGCTTAGCCTAAGCCTCTTCTAAATGTAACTAGGCTTGAGGGCTCCCGCAGGAGCCTCAGCTAGGGCCGTTACTTTGTTATTATTATCAGATTGGATAAGTAGGTATAAATCGTAAAACATATTAAACTTTTTGGTGAGTCTTTCAGATTTATTTGCTATTAGTTAGTATAATAAGCAACTCTTCCACTTGGAATTAAAAAAAAAAAAAACAGAAGTAAGATTGTGTTCTTTCAAACTTTGTTCTATATATATACCAAATTTCATAAAGATTTCTTCATGCCATTTGACAGTAAACTCTAAACATCCATCCATTTGAACTTTTGCATTTTTAATATTAGTAAAATTAGATGTCAACTTTTAATACATGGTCAAATTTCATAGATACGCACATTGCTTTTTATTACACAATATAACATACCAGCTTGAACTACTACTATTGCTCTGTGAATGTTTTCCTCTTGCATTCTTGTACAGTAGGTCTTGATTGTTTTAATTCCTATTTTAGCTTCATCAGGGAAGAAAACAAACATTTGATCAGTTGGGTCGTCATTATGGGCTACTAGGACAATTAAATCACTTCTTGCTGGACGTTTTTCACTGAAAAATTATTGTTTTATATAAATAAAAGCAGATTTTTCAATTGCCTTGTAACTTATCAGAGAGAGTTTATTATTTTAATTTTGTCTATGAAAACTATGCAAACTTTTTAATATACAGTGGCTTAATAAAAATGTATGACAATTTCGTATTTTGACATTTTAAAATACAATATATCAACCTTCAAACACAACATTACCAGTTTTTTAAAAACAGATTTTTTTTTTAATAAAATGCAAAATATAGACGAAAAACTTAAATTAAACAAGTTGGTAAATGGCTTATCGAACACTACGAAAATATATTTGGGTAAGATTTAGATACATACTTTATAACACTTATATGTAATAATTTATAATAGTTTATAAATACCTCGGTTTGTCTCCAAATTGTTCTTTGAATTGTTCAAGTGTTTGGTCCAACTCATCTTGTGTTACTAAATAACCGCGATCGTGGCAAAGCTGTAAATAAACAATTATCAATCAATCGTGAAATTTTTAGCAAGAGTTGTAGAAAAAAAAACAATGTTTTTATATTTAACCTGCATAACTGTTTTTCGAATACGCCAAAGTTTATATGTTTCCGCATCATCATCCATGTTTATTCAATGTTATTTATCTTCTTATTTTTAAATACAAATTACACCGAGACAAAGTGATTGTTAATTCCAGTAAAAATTAAAATGTTTACAGATAGAGGTTAAGTTAAATCAAAAGAGGACAATTCAATTCATATTTTTTCTCTTTTCACTACTGTCAAATAATTACATTACACTCCGTACTATGCATGCATGAAAAACACAAATGTGAACTGTTGGAAATGTATTGAAATTGTAAAAGATTTTTATATTTGGGATCAAGATCAATAATCGTGATTATTGTATTTGAAATTACTTGATAATTGTTAATAGTAGTGTCAATTTTGGTGCTATTTGTTTGGTGCTAGTTTAATCTGTAACTGTTATAAAAATATATTTTCTGTCTGTGCAAATTTTAGACAGATTGATTTTTTATATATTGGAATTGCATTTCATTCATTTGTGATTAATTTTAATTCTTGTAGTTTAAAAATATCTTAGTTTTGTTATTAAGTACAATGGCTGGAATCAAAGGTTCGTTTTTAATACGCCTTTTAATGCTAAAACTATTTACTTTACAGCTTAAGAATGACTCATCTCTGATATTTACAAACAATTTTCTTTATCACTTTTACTAATTATATTTTTTTCTTTTTCATGTTGTCGCCATAAAATACTAAAGTGTGAGTATAATTAATTAATATTAAATCATTTATCAGTCGTATAAGGTTGCAGAAAGTGTAAATCTAATATGCCCTAGATATTTTATGGAAATTAGTGATCTTCAAAATGATATTCAGTTAGAATAAAAGTATATTTTGAGGAAAGACTATACAAATAGTGAAATGTTTATTTGTACTCAAATGAACAATTAAAGAAACAGTACTTTATGGCAATATTAAAGATAAGAAATTTCCCTGGGGGATAATTCCATGTCATAGCTATTTGGATAAACTGCAGCTTGTTGAGTGAAGAATATGTTGAACAAGTATATGATTGTAATGTTTATGAGGTATTTTATATTTGGATATGTTTTACAGATTGTTAACCTTGGCATTTACAAGCTCCGTTGGTGTGACGCTAGTTATAATAGCAAGTGCTCTGCCTCAGTATAAGTAAGTATAACAAACTGTTAACATTGACCAACCCTTAAATATGAAGCGATTATTTCCCACTTGAAATTACCATAATATTTTTTAAATGGAAACTCGGGAAAATCCCTTTCATTAAAAAAAAAAACCAGCCATAGTGGAATCGTAATTCAAAATATATGAAATACTAGCATTGCTTGCGACTTCGTCCACTCAATATTAAGATAAAAAGTAGCCTTTAATATGCCCGTCTATGTCAGCTTGCCCTTCAGTGAAAGTCAGGTCGAAATTAGCTCAGCCGTTTTGGTGATTACCCAGATCAAACACGGCTTGGGAACAGACAGACAGACAACAAAATAAATGTGATTTTCATTATCAGCAAAGCAAATACATCATCTGTCCAAAATCTGGAATTTTTCTTTTGATATTATAAACAGACACTCCATTTTTATTATATGTATAGATAAATATGTTTGCTTGACAAAGGATAGTTCTGTTTTTCTTTGTTTTCTTGGAAATCTCTCGAAGCAATTGATTAACTTTCCAAACTTAATCAGATGACTTATCAAAATGTTGATAACATTAGATTCTAGTGTATTTTTCTACCTTGCGAGAAATCTTTTATGTGTAAAAGATTTTACTCGTCTCCTATTTTATCTAGATTTAGTACTTATTGACATTAGTTAATCTTCAGGTATTACTTGATTGGATGTAACTTTGGTTTATAATTGTTTTAATGAAATTAATATTTGTTTACATAAGTTAAGAAGTCATAAATGAAGATGTTTTTATTCTTCCTTCTTTTAAAAGTAAATTGATTGAATTTAATGGTGTTTATTTCAGATCATGGTTTCCATTTCTCGGGCTGATTTTCAACCTTATATGTCCAATCCCAACAATTATTGCCCGTCGCCGCACAGACAGTGTGGGAGGCATCAGCAGTGCTTGTATGGAGTCTGCAATTTTCATCACCATGGGCATCGTTGTTAGCTCTTTTGCGTATCCCATTGTGCTGGCACGAGCTGGTTTGGTTTGTATTTTAAATTGTTACTTTGTGAGTTTTGACTGCAGTGGAATTTTTACTGACAAAGTTTATCACTTATATTCTCTTTAGTAAAACAATGACAAAAAATTATCTCTTACCTTTCAATCAACTACTATGAAATGGATATATCTTTAGATAGTGATAGTTATAGAAAAACAAAAGACAACCAAAATCTATGAATATGCTGCTTCTCAGATCTATGCGTAATATAGTCTATTTCTGTATTAATAACGTATTTTTTAAACCAAAGCGATCAACTATCTACTAGTCTAGTTTTACTTTGTACCATGTTCTATTTTATTTTAAGGGAGATGAAATTGTTGAACATTTTAGATCCGAGAGTTGTACAATTTTTCACATATATTATATTAGTAAGAATTTTAGATTCAATTTAGATTTATGAATATATTTCCAGATAATGTGGCCCGCTAGCTACCTGACATTGGTGGGCAATGTTATCGTATATTTGGCTATCATCGGTTTCTACATTGTTTTCGAAATGGAGGATACAGATTATACAATGTGGTGAAGATCAAACCTTATTTATTGGATCGAAACAGATACTCTTTAAGCTGATTTTTGTATAATGTTTTGTCTACATAAGTCTGAAATTAAGATACTGATTTTGTTTTTTAAAATTGATATTAAGTGTACCCAATGCCTAAAAATGTGGTTAAAGATGCATAAAAATTGTTTTTATTAAAATGCTTGTGCTAAATGTTGAGGTATGCTTAAATTAAATTTGATAAAAACTGTAAAATCTGAATTTTGATGTAGATGTAACTTGTTTTATTTTACCTTAGAATATGTTAATTTTTTTATAGTAGAACCTTAAATAATTTATAACTGAAACTCATTTTAACATGTATCTAACATTTTTCCTTTTGTTTATCCTCAAGTTGTAGATCATAGGTTTAGTTAATGTTTCGAAGTACATACTTCATATAAAAGTGTTTATTTTTATAGGTATATAGTATTATATTACAAGCTATTATAATAGATATGTTATAATTTGAAAATTATTAATGCTGTATTCAAAATATGTGTCAATTCAAATTTTACCCAACATTGTAATGTAACCTTTCATTACTAAAAGTAGACTATGTATATATGTATTTTATATTGCAACAAAGATTAAAAACATTTTTTGGTATTTCTTTTCTTACATAAAAAAAAATAACTAGTTAACTCTGTTATCACATTCCTGTAATTATTATGTAAATACGTTAGGAGACAGGTCACAATAAAGTATTGTCTATTTGCTTTATAACGTGTATTATTTTAACCTTTTAAACCGTGACCTTTAAAATAATAATTACAGGGTAGTTGGTATGTCACATTGGTCACCCCTTTGATTGAAAAGTCACATGAACCTGAAAAATAATAGGTTGAATCAGCTTCTGTTCCACTGGGTTGCCTGTAACAAATTGCTTAGTTTATGTAAGTTGGTGCAAAAAGATTTAAATAAATACATAAATCAATAATTAAAAACTATATCAAAGTAAGTGACATGTAATAGTTTTTTTTTAATAAAAAGGGAAAAGAGTCTTGCAAACGGGTCTAAAGAGGAAGGAAAAATGTTGTCATCATTTTCACTTTCCTTAAAAATGCAGACTGTATATTGAGTGTTTCAGCAGTGGAATTCCACTTCACGGATGTCATTTCTAAACGGACGTGAATATGCTGAAAATGTTTAAAAGTAAAAGCATCAAATTCATGAAAGCTTTGTAAAACGCTTTCATTTTATTATATTACTTTCCTTACTGAAAAACTAGGATAAATGTTCATAAACATTTGAAAAACAAAAAAGAATTACGTGCAATGGAACGTTTTTCTTAATCATCTCTGTTCACTGACATTTGGTATTTGTCATACGTTTATGATTTCTATTTTGTACTTAAGTTTTTAAGTGTCAAATCGCCGCACCCACAAAATTATTTTACTGCTAAAATATATTTTTATTGTAAAATATTAGAATTATGGGTGACCATTTACCGGCTTGTGTTATCGATGTGGGGACTGGGTATACAAAGTTGGGGTTCGCCGGTAACAAGGAACCTCAGTTTATCATTCCGTCAGCCATAGCGATAAAGGAAACTGCTAAAGTTGGCGACCAAAGTACTCGGCGTATGACTAAAGCAGTGGAAGATTTGGATTTCTTTATCGGAGATGAAGCGTTCGATGCCACCGGATATTCAGTTAAGTATCCAGTACGCCATGGCTTGGTTGAAGATTGGGATCTCATGGAACGTTATATAGAGCAATGTATTTTTAAATACTTGAGAGCAGAGCCTGAAGACCACCATTTCTTACTTACCGAGCCGCCATTAAATACTCCAGAAAATCGAGAATATTTGGCTGAAATTATGTTTGAATCATTCAATGTGCCAGGTCTCTACATTGCTGTTCAAGCTGTGCTAGCGCTTGCCGCATCATGGAAGTCTCGTACTTGTGCTAAACGCACATTCACAGGCATTGTGGTGGATAGTGGTGATGGTGTAACTCACATTGTTCCAGTGGCAGAGGGTTATGTTATTGGTTCCTGTATCAAGCATATACCTATTGCAGGAAGGAATATTACATCATTCATACAGTCTCTGTTGCGTGAAAGAGAAGTTGGTATCCCACCAGAGCAAAGCTTAGAGACTGCAAAGGCTATCAAGGAAAGATATAGCTATATATGTCCAGACATTGCCAAGGAGTTTGCTAAGTATGATTCTGACCCAGGGAAATGGATGAAGAAATATACAGGAATCAATGCTATCACTAAAAATCCCTTCTCGGTTGATGTTGGATATGAAAGGTTTTTAGGACCGGAAATATTTTTCCATCCGGAGTTCTCCAATGCCGATTTTACTGTACCACTAAATGAGATGGTAGATGACGTCATTCAATCATGTCCGATTGACGTAAGAAGAGGATTGTATGGAAATATAGTTCTATCTGGAGGTTCTACCATGTTCCGAGACTTTGATAGGAGACTGCAAAGAGATATTAAGCGTACTGTTGATGCAAGACTGAAGTTATCAACCATGTTATCGGAGGGACGGATTACTCCAAAACCTATAGATGTGCAAGTTGTTTCCCATAACATGCAGCGGTATGCGGTATGGTTTGGAGGTAGCCTGCTAGGTTCCACTCCTGAGTTTTATCAAGTGTGTCACACTAAGCAAGCTTACATGGAATATGGACCAAGTATTTGCAGACACAATCCAGTATTTGGTACTATGATTTAAGTTATTGTTATTGCTAGTTCAGTATTCACTTAGACATGAAGTTTTAAATATTCAGGAACAAATGTATTTATCAAACAAGGGAGGCATTATGTATACTCATATATATGTGGTAAATAAAGTAGCCTTAGGCCTGCTATGTATACTGAATTCTCTAAGACAGTTTTAAATAAACAGCTGAACTGTACAATTAGAATTGTGGGTGTGGGAAAACTTTAACTGAACAGTTTAACTCTTCTGATAAAATTACAGTTCAAGTAGCAAGAATTAAATAGAAGATAAGTAAATAAGTGTCCACCAATGACTCCATCTTCAATAACATATTGCAACTTAGAGCAACTATCTATTCATATTAATGTTTCAAATTTATCCCTATTTCTGTTAGATACCTTTGTCACTAACAGTAAGTGTCCACTGTTGAAATTACTATTCTGCAATATAGCTTTTGCCTCCAGAGAATCAAAAATGTAAAACATGTTTAAAAATTAAGACAATGTCTATAGATAGCTGCTCTCCCTCTAGATCAAGATCAGATCATTGACGGATATTGTCCATATACTGCATTATATTGTTCATTCATATTTTCAATGAGTATGAGAAGTATAGAGATACATTTTAGTACCAAGTGTTAGTGGATATTGTTAGGTGGATAATAAATTGAACAATGTGACAATGTTTAAAGCTTCATGTTAGTAAAATGTTAAAACTATGTTCATTAAGATCTTTTTAATGAAGTTTATTTTAATTTTTTATACAATAAATGCCAATATATTACTTGCACATTTTTAATAATTTAATTTTAATATATAATTATATGATTAATCAATAATTTGCTGGGTTTGCTTTGTAAATTAAGGCATTTAATGTTCCATTCCAGCTTTTTACCAAATATACTTTTCAAGATATGTGTGTTTTTTTTATATGATGGGATATGATTGTTTGCAAAAGTAGGATTAAGCCTATCTCTTTCTCAAAGGTTGGCAACATTTTAGAGGTTTTCTGGTCCATGGTCACCTCGATGTTCCCGCCGCTCATTTGCTCCCTTCTTTTATTGACCGACTTCTTAAAATAAGGAGGTACTCAATTTGTCTGTTTTTATATGTGTTACGGCAAAACTCCACCCCTAGTGGACCAATTTTGAAAATTACTTTTTTTATCCGAATGGTTGTGTTCAAAGGTCCCATTTTTTGTTATAAAATAAGATATTGGTAACATAAAACCACAGAAAATATGTATGGATGACTAAACATTATCTTTAGCTTGATAAAAAAATGTTTTATGCATTATTTGAATTAATTGTTTAATATCTTTGGAGAAACAAATATCGTATCACGTCATAATGAGGTAATAATTGAGGTCATTGAACTTTGGATGTCTTAAGATTCAATATGCTATTGGAGTCCTTTATTACCTCAGAGTTCATTGTTTCTCTTGAAACTGATCTTATGTTAACTTCTGGTAGTAAAGATTGAATTGGAAAACACTGCTACTTTTACTGTACATTTTAGAATATACTATATTATTTAAAAACATATGAATGTTACGGACGTTGTAAAATTTAATAGAATCTACTGTACTTTTTAGATAGGAAAATATGGTCCAATGATTCTCACGCGTCTGTCTCGAATAAAACATTCGAGTTATCGGATCGTGTTTGCGACTGGCACGAGCATTTTCTAGTTCTATTGTATTGGGCCGGAGAATTTACAACTGCATATTGCATGTTATTTTATAATCTTACAAATATAAATGCGAAAGTTTAGATTGACAGATGTTTGGTAGTGTTTGTAGCACAAACGGCTGAACGGATCTCCATGCACAGAGGATAGTCTGGAAGAACACACTATTATTTTTAATTCTACGTTTTTAATTCATTGTAGAACGACAGATAATACTGTAGAGAAACAGAGTTTTATACCGGGGTCGACCACCGGCTGTGCCGGTGTAAACTTTTTTTTAGTCTCGCCGCGACCACCTCATTCTGCCAGTGGTTACGCACAACTATACTGCGCTTGTAGTAATTATTTTTTAATCTGTACGCTTTTTATTTACTCATGTTAGGAAAGGAGGTTGGTAGTAAAATAAAAATATCGTTTCAAGTAAATGTATTTTTTTTTGTTCACATCGCACAGTTCCTAACTTTTTGTTTGCTTTATAAAAACAGATTTGTAATAACATCGTAACGCTTACATTATGCTTACCCTCGGTAACGGATTGTTCAAAATGATATGGTACGCAGACTAGCGTTATACACATTTTTATAATAAAAGTTGTTCAAACTTCAGGATCTCATGCAACTATTAAATAAATAACATACTTGTATTATTACAACAACCATGCAGGGTGACTAAATGGGTACAATATTGAAAAACGATTATACATATACTATTTGAGCCCTGCTAACGGATACACTAAAGATAAATGCAGAATTTTAAATCGTTATTTAGTTGAAAGTTTGAGATTTTATATAAAAAGCGTTTGGTAATGTAATACCAAATGCGTAAAAACGCAATAAAGTGTGTTAACATAGACAATTCAAGTCATAGTGTCTCCCAGATACCGTTAAAAATATAGGATAGGAATTCCAGATAGCTTTATTATCAAGTTGTCTAATCTGGAATTTCTCTTTTTTAAGAAAAAATATTAAACACTACATATTGCGAAAACTTCAAAGATGTGTCTTAAATCAATATGCTTATGACCACAATGATTGACTAAGTGTTAGTTACCCCTAACTTCAGGTAGACATCAAGACCTTCGGTAGGGAGGTATACAAGCTAACTAAATGTAATACCAAACTTTCAGCTAAACACAATTTATGTTAATGCTACATATTTTGTTTTGGTACATTAAAATTATACACGGTATTTACTAGTATTTTCCTCATGTTTTAAAAACTTAATTTTAACATAAATATTTCAGCTCACTAAACTCTAAGTTATACTTTTACTTCGATTGACTAGCATTAAATATTTTGTGTCTAGATTATATAAAATAGATCTCAATTAAATATAGGGCAGTCTTCGTTGGAATTACGAAACATAGACAAAGTAAACAATTGTAAATTATTTAAAAAAACAAACACTCATTAATCCCTTAATAAAAAAATGTAATAAAAACATTTTTTATGTAATATCACTCACAGAAATACAACTACTCGATACAATTGAAATATACAATTTAAACATATACAACTTTCTGCCATATTCACCAAAAAAGCTATAGGTACATATTGTCTTGTGTCTTTGTTGAGGATTTTCATATGCGCGTTAACACGGGACGAATGTATGACGACGTTAGATTATCAAACATACTCGAAACTGACTTATTCTATACAATTTTGTGATATAAATAGTAGTTATTATTCTATTGTCATATGGCGAAGTTTATTAAAACTAGTTTAGAATTATTCATTACAGCAGATTATAATCATGACGTTTATGGATGAACCGTCGTGATACCTTCGCCCGTGTGGATAGAAAATACAATGCGCGTCAGAAGCTGGTGCTCTTTAACTTACTATGATTTAATAAAATATTTTCAAGGGGTCTTTTCGATCGAAATTTGTCTTAAATTACTTCAATGAATAATAATAACATGTTTGGAAGTATAATTTAATATGATTAATGTCACAATTACAAATTTTACTATTGTCGAGATCATTGCAAGCAATGAAAATTGAACACTTGTTTTGAAATGAAAACCAGTCTTTATTATTAGTATTATGAATGCGTTTAAATTTCTCAACCCCTATTATTAACGGTTATAATATATGTAAATATTTAATAGACAGTGATAAGATTTGCCAATGAAAAAGTTCATAAACTTTATAACATTTAAACAATTCATAGTCAAATTTAAGATGTAATTTTTAACAATTACATCTGTAACTAGTTTTAAGACTTTGGTCAATAAGGCATTAAGTTTAATATATTATATTACATGTATTATTTTAATTATTGTTCTTCTTATGTTTAACCTTCGTTACTTGTCACTTTTATTAACAACAATATTTACAACGACATAGAGTCGACATTAGAACCTAGCTAGACCATTATCAACGCTAAAATATAACGTTTCGTTTCACATTAGAGCCGAAAATATTCTTAATATTCTTATTCTTTGACAGTTGCACAGTATATGTATATTTTTCATTTGTTACTGAACGTACAAAAATGATTATATGGCTAAACGTAACGGTATACATGCTAAAACTAAATTTTCTACAACCATATATCTATATACATTTATAAACATTAAATTAAATTGATTTGGCAATTTTTATTAATCAATATCTTAAAATTAAGACACCAATAAAATTAGCTAATATTGGCATTACAGTAAACAACTTTATCCCGATTATTTTAATATCGAATTATGAATAAAAAAAATCAAAACGACTTTTAACAAAAATGTCTTCGTTACCTACAATTATCTTAAACATGGATTTAAAGACAAATTTTATTTTAATTTAAACTAATTATTTTACTGGCAAATCAAACTTAACCACAATGACGTTGAAATAAATTTAGCGATTAAATTTCCTTTTGGCTTATTTTTGCATGAATATTTCGTGGGGGCCTACCACTGGACCACTATAATAAGCCTTTTGCAGCTTTATTTCACAATAAAAAAATTCTGTTCTCTAATGAATTTACTCTACATCTATTGTTTTGTATGATAAAACATAAAATTGGCTGCACGTTTTATTTATTTTTTATTGATTTCGTATAAAAAGTTAAAGTGATTATTAATTTAATTTAGTTCATAGTCACTAAGAACTTATTTAATTAACAAGGTTAACTTAACTTCATGATTTTATGATCGTTTTTAATCATGTTTGATTGAATAAACCAGAAGAATGTATGTATATGAAATACAGTTACAAAAATTGTTAATTTTATTTACATGTGAAAATGTATTCACACGTTAGGTTGTGTTTACATAATTTGAATAAAGTTTCTATGTCATTTATCCGTAATTTAAATAGGTGTTCATACATTAATCTGGAATGCTTCACGCGAGGTCTTGTCGTGAGCGCGGCTTGGCTTGCGGCGATGGTGACTCTCGCACTCTGTGTCGTCCGAGAACCTCGAAGGCGGGTGAATGTGCTCGTTGAACGACGGGTAGTTTGATATGCTGCATCGGCAAGTAACTTTGTTTGGACATTTTAAACGTATCAGCGATAGTTATGACATCGAACAACAAAAACATTAAGAAAATAATAAATTTGCAAAAATAATGTAAATTTAATGAAATACATGAATGATATTATAGTTGTTGATTTAAAAATGTAACAGAAATTGCTAATTTATTTTAATACTTGGATTTGTTTTTAGCAGTTAAACATTTCTGTTACATAATTATGTTATGAAAATTACATCTAATTGAAATACACAACTAATGTTTTGGAAATATTTTGACATTTAACAGTAGTATATATTTAATTTAACAAATAGTATAATTATGCTCTATACACTTTCATTTTTAAATAATTATGCACTCTGTATGTTTTGAACAATTTAAAACATAAAATGTTTAGTGAATAAAATGTTAGGACGTGCAAAAAGGTACATTTAATATACTAAATACAGTTTCATACATTATAAAAGGCGAAATTAAAAGATGGTGTTTTTCTACTTCTTACATTAAGAGCAGGGTTAAAATATATTGAACCAAAATTCAAAAAGAAATTTCCTACATTTACAAGGTGTATGTTAATGTGGTCTAATTTTAAAATAATATAAAAAAAAGCCAACAAAAACTGCCATTTACATAATTTAAAAACTTGCCTCATCATGCATGTTTGTAAGATAATCATAGATTATACATCCATTGTCATAGATTATAGATCCATTGTCATAGATTAAAAAATCAAATTACCTGAAAGTAGTTTCATCATTGTGACTGCTGTATCCGCTGGAGGAGCGCACGTGTCGCTTGCCGAGCGCGCCCGCTTTGCCCTTGCGGCTCGGGAACGCCTTGCGGACAACGCCACCTACCGAATTCTCCGACGAAGACGATGACTCCTCGCGCTCTACACTCGGGTCTGATCACAATAAATCTACATGTAATATTGATTAAGATATATGTCGAAATATATTTAGTCACCGACTGTAAGCAGGTTTACTGTCAGGCCTAAAATAAACGTGAAATCACATTGGATTTTTTTCTTGCAGACTCAAGTTTATAATGAACAGCTAGAAGAGAAAGTAACTTTTGTATGTAAAGCTTACTGACGGTCGGCAGCTAAAAATCCTATTGATTTAAATATGGCCTAAATTGTGACTATTGAATTATTATGTACTGTTCCAACGAGATGATTTAAAACAATAACTTATTGAGCAACGCAAACTAAAAAAAAGTAAATTAGAAAAGATGGTTTCGAGACTATAGTAACCACCTTTAGAAGTGTTCTCGTTTTAAGAATAATTCGCACTGGGTGCCTTTTTCTTTTTACGAAAATTACTTTTGTTTGCCCTTAAATATATAAATGTCATGTAATTTACAGGTAGTGGGGTGCGCAGGTCGTATCCTGGCGGCAGGTTCGCTGTCGGAGTGGGGGGCGCTAGCGTCGTCGCTGGCGTCATCCTCGTACTCTGTAATGGGCAGGTGCAGCGTTAATATCTTCTTCACCTCCGAGTCCGTTGAGCCCAAGTTGTCCGACTCTGCAACACAAGCCCGCATCTCAACTCGGTGCAGTGACAGCCCGCATGGTGAAGCTGATTATATCCACACGAAAACCTTGGCACGAGAACATCAAATCGATCTCGACTCGACAAGTAACCCGTATAGCAATCAATGCAAACAATTTAAAAAATATCGATTGTTAAAATCTTTCATGTATCGATTGAAGAACTGATTTTAAAAATAAGTTTTCGTGAAATATTCGATCAGCGGGAAGCAAATGACACACGAATGGTTATACGATGTCATGGATAGAATACAGGTGTATTGTTTATGAGCTCGCAATGTGTGAATGCTAGAATAGCGGGTAAAAAGAAGTCATGATCGGCAAGGTATAAGCTATGGTAACAGATAGTGGTCATTCGTTGTTCTATTTAATCGAATGATGTGACGATGGAATCGATTCGCTAGGAAAGGAAGCAATCGAGCGTTAGATCGAAGACATCGAGTAATACGATACACTGTGTGCATGCTTACCTTTATAAATTACAACACCAGTTACGCTCCCATCAGGTTGCATAAAAGGCGATCATTATGTCAAATTCAAATCTGTACTTAAAACTTAAACGGGTTAAAAGTAAACTTAATCAATAGAAAGTGCAATCTAGCTAACTAAATAAATGTTAGGCTAACTACGTATACTTTTAGATACGCTCTGTAATATTATGCAAACTACGACGGGGGAACCGTACCTTGGCTCTCCGAATGCGGGTCTCGAAGTCTGGCGCCTTTTCTTCTCACTTTTGTATACTCCGGTTCTTTGCCCTGATAACATAGTTTGTTACTTGTATATCCATCTATCTATACTATTATAATAAAGCGTAAACCACTGCCACTAAGTTGTATAGTATTTCAGCGATCACAATATATTTTTGAGTAATTCTTTCTAATGGGTAAGTAATTTGGAAAAAACTATCATGCGGGAAAGGGACAAAAATCCAAGCTGACAACATCAAGAAAGCAAGGTTGCTATAGTAATGACAATTATTATCCAATATCAATGTGTCTAATATCCGATATCATTTGTGCATTTTAATTTTGACATTTGCAATTGACAATTTGACAAATGTAAACAATAAAATAAAGTTTTTATAATTTCACGCAGATAAAGCACAGGAGTAGCTCGTACAAATATGTTTGTTCTGGTGGTCTTTAGGATTGTAATTAAAGTAACTTAGGAATAAACAGATAAATGTTCTTCTTCACTTGTTTTCCTACTTATCTCTTTGCAATGTGTACGCACCTTATATTTGTCATTTTGCTTGAGGTCGTGGTAGACGAAGGAGCCGCGCACGGAGTGGTAAGGGCCGCTGTACACGTTGCCGCTGTAACTGCTCTCGCTGTACGCGGGCTTCGTCAGCTGGAACGTCGCGTATGGGCAGATGTCTTCGATGTATTCTAAAGAGGAACGTTGCATTTGTTAATTCTATAATCTTTATTCTATCTGGTTTTAAGTTTTGCTTAAAAAAAATCCCTCGAAAATCTCAATACTACCACGAAATGTGATTATGAAGCCATTCAGTGTCAACAACTATTTACTGTCGCTTGGATTCCTTATACAGAGGTGCGCACACTACTCGATTTTAGTTTTGCAACTAAATAGTTTAATCGACTGCGAAACAATCGAAAATCGCAAAACAGTTCTGCGGAAGTTTAGTTAAAGATATTCTCCCACTCTAAGAGTGTATCAGGTGGGATCTTGATAAAGCACTCGTTAATTCTTTAATAAAAATGCAAGTATGTATAATATAATGTAATATACGTACCATTAGATGCGTGCTTGTAGTGGTGCGGTGGAGCGGGATGCTGTGCGCGCGCCGCCAGGTACTGCTGGTCGCGGTTTACTTTGTTCTGCAGCTGCGCTACTGACGGCGACTCGCCCACGCCTGCCTCCGGCGCCGCACTCTCTGTTGTGCCTGCTTCTATATAAGGAAACAATTTATAGACATTTGAACCTGGAGTTCAAGTTTTTTCATCATCAATCAAGTACTTTTCAGTTTAATTTGTCCAGTGAAGAAGATAATAACGATTATTCGTAATTTCGGCTCAAGGGTT